ATGAAACAGATGAAGTATCTTGGCAGATAAGAAAAAAAAGAAAGAAACCTGGGTTAACTAAATTAAAGCATGTGAGAAGTAAAGAAAAACCTGAGACAAGAAATTCTGTGCAAATGAGATACAATGTTTCCTGAACTTATTGTTCCATCTTCTAAAAAGAGTGAATCAATTATACTGGTCAAAAAATAAGTAAATAAATAAATAACTCTGAGAAAACAGAGGGAGAATTAGATAACATGTTACAGAAAAAAACAATTGAAACTTAATTCAGAACAGAGGCATCCATAGTCAGCCTTCTTCATTACTTTTCTATTTCTAAATATTGAGCATTCCAGAGCGTTTGTTAACTGCTTGATATGTTATTTAATTTTCACAGGTAAAGGAACAGAGGAATAAAAAAATACCCTCGCCCTGGCCAGTTTGGCTCAGCGGTTAGAGCGTCGGCCTGCGGTCCGGAGAGACCCGGGTTCGGTTCCCGCTAAGGGCACGTACTTCGGTTGCAGTTTGTCCCCGGCCCTGGTTGGTCGTGCGGGTGGCAGCCACTCGATGTGTCCCTTCACATCGATGTTTCTCTCTCTCTCTCCCTTCCTCTCTCTCCCTCCCACTCTATCTGTACAAAAAATGGAAAAATATCCTTGGGTGAGGATAAAAAACAAACAAACAAAAAAAATACCCTCATATTTGACTTTGAAAACCAATGCAAAATATTGCTAATTTTTAAACTATTTGGTTAAGTGGTTCTCAAACGACAAGTTGTAGATACCTTCCAAGCCTCAGGAGCTGGCCATCTTAACCAGCGGCACATAGCAGAATTGCCTGGGGAAAAAACCTTTTAAATGCTTGGGACCCAACTGGGTAATTTTAAAGTTACCAGTTTAAAAAAAATTATAATAATAGTGCTTGATGATGAAAGGTAATTTAAGCAGTGCAAGCCCTCCTGACCCAACTCCCCACAGGTAATCACTATTACCAATTTCTTCTGCACATGATATATCTAATTTACAAAGGAGATCACATTATACATGTTCTGCAAAATGATTTATGTCACCTAATAATATACCTGAACATCTTTCCATATCAATACATCTAGATTCACCTTGATTTTTCAACAGCTGCCTAGTATTCCATTTTTTTAGATGTAGTATCACTTATTCAAGTAGCCCCTTATTGACGATTATCTCTCTCTCTCTCTCTCTCGATATATATATATATATATATATTTTTGCTATTACAATTAACACTATAATGAACATCCATATAAATCCATATCTTATTGTTTTCTTATGAGTAGACAGTGTGGTAGGCATAATTCTAAAGTGACCTGCAAGATCTTTGTATAATCTCTTCCCCTTTGAGTAGGTGGACCCTGTGAATATGTTGAGACTCCCATAATTACATTTCATTATGGTAAAAGGGAGATTTCTCCTAGGTAGGCCTAGCCAGTCAGGCCAGCCTTTGAAAAGCAAAGGGTTTTCTCTAGGTGGCTAATCACAGAAGAGGAAAGCAGAGAGATGCATTCTGGCAGGCTGGAAGAAAGCAGACATTCATGTTGTGAATAGTCTAGGGAGCCACATGGCAAGGAACTGCGAACAGTCTCTAGAAGGTGAGGGCAGACCCCGGCCAACAGTTAGTAGGAAAATGGGGCCCTTAATCCTACAGTCACGACGATTGTGACTACAGAGCTTGGAAAAAGATCCCAAGCTCCAAATGAAAACTGCAGCCCTGGTGACACCTTGATTTTGACTCACTGAGACCCTGAGCAGAGAATTCAGCCATACTGTGCCTGACCTCCTGACTTACAGTAACTATAAGGTAATAAGTGTATTATTTTAAGCAGTTAAATTTGTGGTAATGTGTTATGTAGCACTAAAAAACCAATATAATCTGCATGATAAATTCCTAGAAGTCAAACAGCTGGTTCAAAATGTTTACAGATATTCCAAAATTGTTTTTCAAATACTTTACATCAATTTAAATAAACTTACCACAGTAGACCTAAATTTTTAAAACTCCCTGATTATATTATCTACTGATTTATAGTGTTTATTATAATGAGTACCAAGGGATAGAATGATCTATATTGTATCTTGCCCACCTGTAGCTGATTTTTCTGTCAGAGGGATTTTTTTAAGTGTTTATACTCTAATATCTCTTGTAAGAAGAATTACCTTTCCTGGTAGGCTCTATTAGGAGGAAGAACTGTCATTACAACTACCAACTTCAATATAGGAAGCTGTAGGCAACTAAAGTTAATATAAGCAAGTGGGACACTACTAAATTGTAATCCATCTACCAGTGAGGGGGTTGAATAAACTCTGAAACTGAAAACAAATTTAAAAGGTTTTTTTCTATGTTGAATACTCTTCTCGGAATAAAGCTTTAAATATTTTATAATATATTCAGCCAAGATAGTAATCTGAAGAAAAATATGAACAGGACCACAGAGTGAAATCCATAATCAAATTATCAATTATATGAACAGCAAACTATTTTTATATGTTCAAGATTATTTAGGGAAAGAGGTAGATTTTAGAGCCAGACCAGACCCAAGAAATTTAGTTTGCCTTCCATTTTTCTTTTTGTTTTTGTTTTTTGGGTTATTTTTGTTAATCCTCACCCAAGGATATTTCTTCCATTGATTTTTAGAGACAGTGGGAGGGAGAGAGGGAGCAAAAGAGGGAGAAATGAGAAGTGAGAGAGACACATCGATCAGCTGCCTCCTAAACAACCTCAACCAGGGCTGGGGATCGAACCTAAAACCAAGGTATGTGCCCTTGACCGGGAATCAAACCCGAGAGTCAATGCTCTATCCACTGAGCCAAAACAGCCAGGGCTCTTTAAAATGTTCAGACCCTCTGCCCTGGCTTGGTGACTCTTGGTTGGTTGGAGTGTCCTCCCGTGCACCAAAAAGGTTTCAGGTTCAATTCCCAGTCAGAGCACGTGCAGGAGGCAACAGATCTATGTGTCTATCTGTCTCTCTTCTCTGTGTGTGTGTCTTTCTCAAATCAATAGAAACATATTCTCTGGTTAGGATTAAAAATAAAAATAAAATGTTTATGTTCTCTGACCGAATAATTCTCTTTTGAGAGTTTGTCCTAAAGATACAAATCATAGATGATCATCCTATTCAACAAATTAATTCAACCAACATTTAGTAAGCATCTCCTATGAGTTATTAGATATTGTTATCAGAAAACAACAGTGAAAAAAGTATGTCCCTGCCATCATACAGCCTAAATTCAGGTGGGAGACAAGGACAGTAACAAGTAAATATATTAAAAAACATATAAATTTTATCTATAAAATATATAGAAATTTCAAGTGTTGACAGATACTATGAAAAAAAGTAGGGTGTGAGAGTAAAATGATGAGATTTTAATTTAGAAAAAGCAACCAATGAAGAAAATCTCCCAAGAGATGCCATGGCCCTGGCCGGTTTGGCTCAGTGGTTAGAGCATCAGCCTGCGGTTCAGAGAGACCGGGGTTCGGTTCCTGCTAAGGGCATGTACCTCGGTTGCAGTTTAATCGTGTGGGTGGCAACCACTCGATGTGTCCCTTTCACGTCGATGTTTCTCTCTCTCTCTCTCTCTCTCTCTCTCTCCTTTCCACTCTATCTGAACAAAATATCAAAAAAAAAAAGTCCTCGGGTGAGAATAAAAAAAAAAAGAGATGCCATGAATGAGGTAGGGATGTAGGTCTTACAAGCAGATAGGTATCTGGGGCAATAATAAACAGTAAGTGCAAATTTCCTGGGGCACGTTCTCCCAAACATCCCCAGTAGAGTCACCATCACACTGAATGTTAGTTAAAGCCAACTATAAGTACCTAAAATTGTCATAGAAATCTGTGAGGGTGTTTTTGTTTGTTTGTTTGTTTTTAAACAGCAAATAATGTTTAGACTTTCAAAAAAATTCTATTTATAATAAACTTTTTATTACTATTATAGTATTATTTATAGTTGGAAACAATCTAAATGTCCCACAGTTGTTACTAAATTGGCAATACATTCATAAAATGAAAAAAAAATTTTTTTTTTTATCCTCACCTAAGGACGTTTTTCCATATTTTGTTCAGATAGAGTGGGAGGGAGGGAGAGAGAGAGAGACATAGACACGAAAAGGACACATCCAGTGGATGCCACCTGCAGGACCGCACGACCACACGACCCAACCAGGGCCGGGGACAAACTGCAACCGAGATACGTGCCCTTAGGGGGAAACAAACCCAGGTCTCTCTGGACTGCAGGCCGACGCTTTAACCGCTGAGCCAAACCGGCCAGGGCAAAATGAAATACTTTAAAAAACTTAAAATAACATTTTAAAATCATGGTAAACTATTTAATAATATGAAAAAATGCTATTACATAAAGTGAAAAGAGAAATTTATTAAATAGTCCACAATGAGCCAGTTTTTTTCTTATTGATTTTGAGAGAGAGAGAGAGAGAGAGAGAGAGAGAGAGAGAGAGAGAAACACTGATGAGAGAGAAAATCGACTGGCTGCCTCCTGAATGTCCCCCACTGGGGACTTGGCTCCCAGCCTAGGCATATGCCCTGACTTCTTGGTATAACCAGTAACCCACACTGGCTGGGCCCAAATTTTACTTAAATAAATAAATAAATAAAAATATAAATATATCTTAACTATTTCATGATAAGTTTTTATGTATATAGAAAAGAACAGAAGACTACATCCCAAATATTAAGATAGTAGTGATTATCTTTCACTGGTATGGCTGTGGACAATTTTTATCTTTTTTTGGACTTTTCTATGTTTTTCAAATACACTAAATGTAATATTTTATAAAAATAGAGAGGGAAACCTAAAAGTTATTTTCAAGATAAATGTGTTAAAAGATAGAATTTTATTTACCAGGAAAAAACAAAAACAAAAAAACAGGAAGCATTTGAACTCTATTAGCTTCTTTTTTCTTTATGTTTTATTCACTTTGGCACTGACTAAAAGGTAACTAGAAAAGTTCTGAAGAAGCAATTATACTTACATTCCTGTTTGAAGGTGAAATATTCTGTAAGATGCCTGCATTCATGATTTCCCCGAAGCAGAAACAATGTTTTGGGATGATTAATCTTTAAACTCCATAGAAACAGTATACACTATAAGACAAATACAAGAATAAAGTGTTTATTTGTGACCATGACAATGTACAAAGATAACTTATATAAATTCAAATGACGTGTAATGGCATACCTTATTACTATTCCCAAGTTGAAACATGAAACCTTCAGCTTTTGAATGTGATATGCCATTGCCCTAGAATTAGACAGGGCATAGAGAGTAGCCTTCATAGAAATCTCTCCTTAATTTCTGTTCCCATGTTCTATACAAATACCTAGAACTCTGTGATAAAGGAACCTACACATATATAATATATACCTTATTCATAAAACCTGTATTTTATTTAATAAAGAAACACTAGAAACAGTTTCACTAAAATCAGGAACAAGGCAAAGATATCCACTATCTCTGCTATTATTTAACACTGTACTTAGAGGCACTGGCCAATGGAATTAGATAAAAGCAATCAATTACAGGCTTAAGAATGGATAAAGAAAAAAAACGATCTCTATTTGCAGATAATATAATATACCTGAAAAACTCAAGAAAAATCAATGATAAAACTCAAATAATAAAAAAATTCAGTAACAGGGCAGAATATAAAAATTAATATACAAAATCAATAGCCTTCATATATACAAATAATAAGGAGACAATAGGAGAGAAAATTCCATTTCCAATAGCAGTAAAGAAGATTAAACACACAAGAATACATATATGTACAAATCTCAAACCAGGAAAAATGTAAAACCCTCCCAAAATACACAAAGTAGATATAAACAGAGACATTCCTTATTCTTTTTTTTCTTAATTTATTTATTTATTAATTTTTGTTACAGATGTTTCTCCTTCTTCCCCCACTGATTGACCCCTCCCCCTCCCTCCCTGCCCTGTCCCCACTTTGTTGTCCATGTCCACTGTTCATGCATACATGCATATAAGTTCTGTGGTTTATCTCTCCCCCACCACCCCCCATCCTGGGGATTGTCAGTCTGTACCCCACTTACACATCTCTGGGACTACCCCATTCCTCAGACTGTTATGTTCATTATATTCCACAAATAAGTGAGATCATATGATACTTGTCTTTCTGTTTGGCTTGTTTCACGTAGGATGATACTTTCCAGGTCCCTCCATGTAGTCTCAAAGGATAAGAGATCTTTCTTTCTTACAGCTGCGTAGTACTCCATTGTGTATATGTACCACTGCTTTTTTATCCATTCGTCTACTGATGGACACTTGGGCTGTTTCCAGATCGTAGCTATTGTAAATAGTGCTGCTACAAACATGGGGGTACATCTATTCTTTCTGATTGGTGTTTCAGGCTTCTTAGGGTATATTCCTTGAAGTGCGATCACTGGGTCAAATGGAAGTTCAATTTTTAATTTTTTGAGGTAACACCATATTGTTTCCATAGTGGCTGCACCCCACCAGCAGTGTACTAGAGTCCCCTTTTCTCCGCACCCTTGCGAACACTTGCTGTTTGATGATTTGTTGATGGCAGCCATTTGGACAGGTGTGAGGTGATACCTCATTGTTGTTTTAATTTGCATCTCTCTGATGATTAGTGATGATGAGCATTTCGTCATGTCTCTTAGCCATTTGTATGTCCTGTTTGGAGAGGTGTCTATTTAGTTCCTCAGCCCATTTTTTAATTGGGTTCTTTGTCTTCCTTTTGTGGAGTTGTATGAGCACTCTATATATATTGGAAATTAACCCCTTATCTGATATATCATTGGCAATTATGCTCTCCCATACAGTGGGTAGCCTTACAATTTTGATGATTGTATCTTTCGCTGTGCAGAAGCTTTTGAGTTTGATGTAGTCTCATGTGTTCATTTTCTCCTTTGTTTCTATTGCCTTAGGTGATATATCAGTGAAAATTCTTCTGCGTATGATGTCTGAAATTTTGTTGCCTACAGTTTCTTCTAGGATTTTTATGGATTCATGAGTCATATTGAAGTCTTTTATCCATTTTGAGTTTATTCTTGTGTATGGTGTAAGTTGATGGTCTAGTTTCATTTTTCTGCATGTAGCTGTCCAATTTTCCAGCACCATTTATTAAAGAGGCTGTCCTTACTCCACTGTACGCTCTTGCCACCTTTGTCAAATATTAATTGAGCATATTGCCTTGGGTCCACTTCTGGGTTCTCTGTTCTGTTCCACAGGTCTATATGCCTGTTCTTGTGCCAGTACCAGGCTGTTTTGATTACGGTGGCTTTGTAGTATAACCTGAAATCTGGTAATGTGATCCCTCCAACTTTGTTCTTCCTTTTCAAGATTGCTGTGGCTTTTCGAGGTCTTTGTTGGTTCCATATGAACTTCTGAAGTACTTGTTCTATTCTCTGAAGTATGCCGTTGGTATTTTGATGGGGATTGCACTGAATCTATAGATTGCTTAGGGTAATATGGACATTTTAATGATGTTAATTCTCCCAGTCCATGAACAGGGTATGTGCTTCCACTTTTTTATATCTTCCTCTATTTCTTTTTTTAATGACCTGTAGTTTTCTGCGAATAGGTCCTTTATTTATTTGGTTAAGTTTATTCCTAGGTATCTTAATTGTTTTGCCACTATGATAAATGGAATTGTTTTCTTAGTTTCTCTTTCTGTGATTTCATCATTGGTGTATAAAAATGCCATCAATTTCTTGACGTTAATTTTGTATCCTGCTACTTTGCCAAATTCATTTATTAAGTCTAGTAACTTTTTGATGGAGTATTTGGGGTTTTCTACGTATAGTATCATGTCATCTGCAAATAATGACAGTTTCACTTCCTCCTCTCCAATTTGGATCCCTTTTATTTTTTCTTCCTGTCTGATTGCTATGGTTAAGAACTCCAGTACTATGTTAAATAAGAGTGGCGAAAGTGGGCATCCTTGCCTTGTTCCTGTTCTTAAGGGAAATGCTTTTAGTTTTTGCCCATTGAGTATGATGTTGGTTGTAGGTCTTTCATATGTGGCTTTTATTATGTCTAGATATGATCCCTCTATTCCCACATTGCTGAGCGTTTTTATCAGAAATGGATGCTAGATTTTGTCAAAGGCTTTTTCGGCATCTATTGATATGACCATGTGGTTTTTATTCTTCATTTTATTTATGTGGTGTATCACGTTTATTGATTTGCGAATATTGTACCAGCCTTGCATCCCTGGGATGAATCCCACTTGGTCATGGTGGATGATTTTTTTGGTGTATTGCTGGAGCCGATTTGCTAGTATTTTGTTCAGGATTTTGGCCTCTATGTTCATCAGGGGTATTAGCCTGTAGTTTTCTTTCTTTGTAATGTCTTTTTCTGGTTTTGGAATTAGAATTATGCTGGCTTCATAAAACGAGTTTGGAAGTCTTCCTTCTTCTTGAATTTTTTGAAATAGTTGGAGGAGAATGGGTGTTAGTTCTTCTTTGAATGTTCGGTAAAACTCCCCGGTGAAGCCACCCAGGCCTGGGCTTTTGTTTGCTGGGAGAGTCTTCATTACATCTTCAATTTCCTTAGTTGTTATTGGTCTGTTCAAGTTTTCTATCTCTTCCTGGTCCAGTTTTGGGAGACTATGTGTTTCTAGAAATTTGTCCATTTCACTTAGATTGTCAAATTTGTTGCGATATAATTGTTCCTAGTAGTTGTTAACGATCTTTTGTATTTCTGTGGTGTCAGTTGTTACTTCTCTTTCATTTCTGATTTTGTGCATTTGGGTTCTCTCTCATTTTCTCTTGGTGAGTCTAGCTAATGGTCCATCAATCTTGTTTATCTTTTTGAAAAACCAGCTCTTTGTTTCATTGATCCTTTGAATTGGTTTGTTTGTTTTTTTTGGTCTCTATGTCGTTTATTTCTGCTCTGATCTTTACTATTTCCTTCCTTCTACTTGCTCTGGGGTTTTCTTTTTGTTTGCTCTCTAGTTCTTTAAGTTGTGAGGTTAGATAGTCTATTAGCGATTTTTCTTGTTATTTGAGGTAGGCCTGTAGAGCTATAAAGTTCCCTCTCAGAACTGCTTTCGCTGCATCCCATAGATTTTGTGTTGTTGTGTCTTCATTTTCATTGGTTTCCAAGAAGTTTTTGATTTCTTTCTTGATCTCCTCGGTGACCCATTCATTGTTTAATAACATGCTATTTAGCTTCCATGTGTTCAAATGTCTTTGTATGTTCTTCTTGCAATTGATTTCTAGTTTCATGCCATTGTGATCTGAGAAGATGCTTGATATGATTTCAGTCTTCTTGAATTTGTAGAAACTTAGTTTGTGCCCTAACATGTGGTCTATCTTTGAGAATGTCCCATGTGCCCTTAAGAATGTGAATTCTGTAGTTTTGGGGTGTAATTCTCTGTAGATATCGATTAAATCCATTTGGTCTAGTGCTTCATTTAGAGTCTCTGTTTCCTTGCTAATTTTTTGTCTAGAGGATCTATCCAGTGATGTCAGTGGGGTGTTGAAGTCCCCTGCTATGACTGTATTGCTGTCGATTTCTCCATTGAAGTCCTCCATAAGATTTTTAATATATGTTGGTGCTTCTATATATGTTTATCAAGGTTATATCTTCCTGTTGGATAGATCCTTTCAATATTATGTAGTGGCCTTCTTTGTCTCTAGTTATGGCCTTCATTTTGAAGTCTGTTTTATCAGATATGAGTAATGCTACCCCAGCTTTTTTTTTCCTTTTCGTTTGCTTGGAAGATTTTTTCCATCCCTTCACTTTCAATCTATGTGAGTCTTTTGTTGTGAAGTGGGTCTTTTGTAAACAACATATAGACGAGTCATGCTTTCTTATCCAATCAGCTACTCTGTGTCTTTTTATGGGAGCATTCAATCCACTTACATTTAAGGTGATTATTGATATGTACTTATTTATTGCCATTTTTGTTTAGTGTGGTTATATTTTTCTTCCCATTTCTCCTGCTAATTACAGTAGTCCTTTTAACATTTCTTGCAGTGCTGGTTTGATGCTAATTTATTCCCTTAGCCTTTTTTTGTCTGGGAAGCTCTTTATTTCACCTTCCATTTTGAATTATTAGCCTTGCTGGGTAGAATAGTCTTGGATTCAGATC